GGGGGGGGGGGGGGAACGTCCCAGAAGGCAGTAATGGCAAACCACTTCCTGGTCTTGTATCCATGTAATCACCAGAAGATATGCTTGATTCAAGGGAGACTTTATCTCTATTTATTATACAGATAAGTTTCCAACCTTTTTGGACCAACAGGCACATTCAGAACTTGAATAGTATATAGCGAATGATTGCCTGTTCAACCAAATGATTGTCATGTTAAGTGCACCCAGTTGCAAAAGATCCATTCCCAGAAGATAAAAAAAATAGATGTCACAAGTAGGGTCAGAATCCCACTATTCTGAACCCAGCATTTTTGGCTTCAGCACTAACTTCACAGAAATAAAGTGGTGAAATCCAGCAGTTTAAGTACCAGGCACAAAGCATACACACACACAAAAATTCTGGGAGTTCAAACACCATACAAACCTAGATACATATACATATACATATAAATACAAAGTTGAGGCAAAAATACATCACATCTAAAGGAGGAGAAGGTATATCTTCAGTGACCCCAGTGTATCTCCTATCATCATTCTTCTCCAAGATGTTCTCTACCTTCTCAATTTATCCTTCTCTTCTCTTCTCTTTTTTTCTTTTCTGGGCAGCAGGCTACATCTGCTATTTTTATTTTCTGAGGATGTGTCTGGGAACTACATAAGACCCCAGATACATTCTCATATAGAAACAAGTATCCCTATAAAAAAATAAACTTAGCTACTCTAGAAACTCAGTTGTTTTTTTCTAGTGATTTTATTAGAAATTACAATTAAAAAGATAAAAACTAATACAAATTAAAAAAGGAGCATGAAAAGAAAAAATGGAAAGTGCAGAAAAGAAAAAGTAGAAAGAAAAATAGAAAAGAAAGATAAAATAACATAGTAAAGAAAAAGAAAAGAAATATATAAAGAAATTACTTCACCCTTCATCACACAAGTGCAAACAATTTTAGTAACTTATCACCTTCTCTTAAAATAAAACAAATGATCTCTTCTTCCCATATCCCATATCTTATTTATTTATTTCTATTTATTTATTCAATTTCCATAGCCTAACTATAAACAAATCCTTAAAACCTTGCCATTCAGTCCCAATCAGCAAAAGTCCAGTAAGAGTTGCAAGAGATAATATATCTATTTTAACCTTGATCAAATAAACCAACTTTATATTCCTTCCTTTTACTTTTAACAATCTTGATCTTTAGTCCCTTCAAATAATGTTCTAGGATTTTATTTATTTTATTTTATTTTTGTTCCTTCTCACAAAATCCTACAATATTTGAACAAGTCTCTTTTGTAAATCCAATATAGGAAAGTTATCCAGGCTACACATTTGGTTTGTTATTTGTATATCCGTTTTAATTATTAAGACGTCTGCTGATTTCTTTTGTATGTCCAGCGTAGCATCTTTTTCCATATCATTCTTATAGCCTGTCATTTTTAAATCCAGATCAGATTAGATCAGTCTCAATCTTACCTGATAAAACTTGTTCCTCTTCCATAACATCTTTTAAACACAGTTTATCTATAGAGGCAGACTCTCTTAAAATTAACCTCTGGGTCCATTGTTATCCTTCAATATCTCCAAAGCTAAAATAGTTTGCTCCATTCTGTATTAGTAAGTCCGATTTAAGTGTTCTTCTCCTTTAATTGCAATCTTTAGTTCCTTCTGGTTCCCTCTAGTGTTCAACCTTCCAATCTCATGATGTTTTTCAAAACAAAACAAAAGCATTTTTCCATGGGAAGGATTCTTATAATTAATTCCAAAATCTTATTTAAAATCCATCTGGATCCTTAGTCCACTTGTAACTTTCCAAAATCAGAGTTCTAATCACCCTTTTGCTGCTTATTCCAAAAAATATATAAATCCTTAAACTTGTATTTAAAACTTATTTCGCTAAGGATTGAAAGAAACTCACCCAGTACTATAAAACCTGTCAGTCCAAAGGTTCCTAATAGCTGAAAATCAGTTAACAAGCAATTTCCAAAAGTGATTTGAAAAGGAAGTATGCAAACCCAGCATCCTTTTGAAAGGCACCGACTGTGGTTTGATCAAGGTCCCTCATCTCCCAGAGCTCTAAACCCACCAGAGACCGTTGACTTATGGTCTGCTCATGAGGAGCAACTGTATGGAGTACTTGTGAGTGATCTCCACTCTTCTCCTTGTCTGAACAGGAATTATGAAGAGCCGATCTACTCGCTGGCTCTTCATTTTGCCATGGCCATCAGCTCCATTTTTAGCAGAGCCTTCTTTAGTTCATCATTTCTTCCCTGGAAGTCCCTGCTAGAAATTCAGTTCTTAAGGGGGAAATACCATTTGATTTTGAAAATAAATACTAAAAAGGGGAGGACAGGAACTTGGTAGGCTTGGGCAGAACTGTCCACAAATACTGTTAGGCCTATAAACACAACTTCAGTAGCTACATTCAATAACATGACATTTTTAATCTCCAACCCATTCAATTTTTTCCTTGTCCATCTTAATATTCTTAATATAATAAATATTGTTTAATAATTTATATTATGTGAGTATGTGCTTTGAAGACCTGGATATTCCCTTGGGTGTTAAGGCCAAGATGTGGATGAGCTCATCCTGTGAGATACAATATATTTTGGTGCCCCAGATTATGTGTTTTGTTGTTGTGGTTTTGGGTTGTTTTCATGGGATTTATTATAATTTTATTGCTGTATACTGCCTGGAGTCATATTTTTGTGAATTAGGTGTTTATATA